GAATGCCATCTTGGACCGTCGTGTGCCGTCTTGGAATTGAAGGTTGGGGGCCTCTTGGCCATCGTGGGCCCTCGGGAACCTTGAGCGCTATAACCTTTCATCCGAGGCGGGAGATCTACATGACCACCGCCTGGAGGATCAATTTTCGGGGACCTCGGCAGGCGGTGAATACGGACATGTTCGGGCCCCCAGCGGCCAACATATATCCATATCCACCGCCAGCTACGGCACCAGGACGTCGGTTCCCAGGCAGTGGATGGGGATAAATCCCCGCCTCGGATTTCAAACTTCGCTAGGATGCTTACAGTTAACTGTCATAGTAAGGATAGGCAGTTTTCCAAGGTTACCCTTGCATCCTTCTCCTTCGGCGCATCTTTTGCCGCTTTCGCTGGCTGCGTCCAGCTCGCCAAGTGTCGACATGGCCTTTCAAGGTTTTTGCATCCTTATCGCGCGTCCTTATGATACGGGTTGACTGTAATCATTGGTTTGGGCCTCTGCGGGCTTTCCTGCAAGGCATCTGAGGGGGCTCTTGGGCCGTCTTTGTGGGGCTCTCAGGTCGTCTTGGAGCCGTCTTGGGAGGTCGAAGGGCCAGCTTGTGCCGTACTCAAGGCATCTTGGGCGAATTTGGAGTCATTTTGAGCCGTCTTGGAGGTCATCTCGTGATGTTACGGCATCTTGGAGTCATCTTGGACACATGTTGGATGGATGGGGCCCACGGAATGTGCAGCCGGCTGGATGAAGAGAGCCACCGTTGAGACCCTTCGGGAATGGCCACCACGTAGTAAGCCCTGGCGCGCCAATCTCCAGTGTGGCACGCCAAAGGTTGGCGGTACATACAGAGGGGGGCCATATGCCAAGAAACACCCCGCTTGCCTCCAGGGTGCCCTGGGTTTCTCGGGTCTCCATGGTTTTGCTGTGGAAGGCGCGACGCTCCCACGCCAAAAGTCCATAGACGTCCTGGGGTCTCAGGGTTAGGTTTCTTGCGTTCTTGTGGCCTACACTGTACTGAAGGGGCCTGCGCCGTTCCGCCCCCACTCCCAGCGGCGCAGACGAAGGGTTCTCGTTGGAGGTTTCTCCCTGAAGGGCTCTTGTGGTTCCTTGTTGCAGGGTCCTCAGGGTTGGGCTTCTCGTTGAAGGTTTCTTGTGGTTTCGCGTTGAAGGCTTCTCCTTGAAGGTCGCTTGTGCTTTCTTGTTGCAGGGTCCTCGGGGCTGAGCTTCTCGTTGAAGGTTTCTCGTGGAAGGGCCCACTGCTCCTCGGGCCCTCCAGCGCCCAACGTCCCCGGCCCCTCCCGAGCCCCCCGCCCCCCGCGAGAGGCGGGGCGGCACGCGGGCCGCCGCCCGCGACGCGCTGGCAGACCCCGGGCATGGGCTCCCATGCCGTGTTGCTTCGATTCGCGGCTCCAGGCCCAGACACGACACACACTTACCAAACACACACACACACATATATATATATATATATGTATATATACACATATATATATATATATATATATATATACATATATATATATATATATATACATACTACATGTTTTCATATGAAAAGGCGGGACTGGAGGGTTGTGGCCATGTTCGGCCTCGGGGGGCCCTCGCCTGGCCCTGGGGCCGTCAACAGAAACGGGTCGGGACGACAAACCGGCCCCGGGGAAAGGGTCGGGCCTTCCAGGTGAGCGTTTTTGTGATTCCTTCTCTTTTGCCGATCGGCGCGGGGACCCCAAACCCCTCCTCCCCCTCCCCTGGAGTAGATCTCAGCTGTTTCAGGCGCCTGTTCCGAGCAGGTGCAGTCTCCCCCACAATGGACACATTGGTGCAAACAGTGGCACTAAGCAGAGGTCCAGAGCGAGACCCCCCTTTCCGCGCAATGTCGAGACGCCGAATGAAAACTCGTTCACCAGGGACCCCGTCCTGAAACAATCAGGACGTCGCATCTCTGGGGGTGTCCCGCGTCGGGGCCTCTGGAACCTCGGGCCGCGCGCGATTTGACATCTGGGGCCTCTGGGGCTCCAGCGAGGTCCCGCGTCGGGAACTCCCTGGGGGCTTCTGGGACTCCCGACCCCCTTGTGGAGGGTTTCGCCCAAGTGCTTAGGCGACCCGCCATTCTCCTCCACCTCCTCCTCCTCCTCCTTCTCCTTTTCCTCCACCTCCTTCACCTCCTCCTCCTCCTCCCCTCCTCCTCCTCTCCTCCTCCTCCTCCCTCCTCCTCCTCCTCCTCCTCCTCCTCCTCCTCATCATCATCATCATCATCTCATCCTCATCCATCTCATCCTCATCCTCATCCTCATCCTCCACCTCATCCTCACCCCCCCTCCTCCTCCCTCCTCCTCCTCCTCCTCCTCCTCCTCCTCCTCCTCCTCCCCCTCGTGTTTCTCCTCTTGCCCGGGGCCACGGGCCCCTGCGCAGGTGGCGGACTGCAGCACCTACCACCCAGACATGGCCGCGTCGTGACAAAGATCAGGGCGGGAGGTCTTTGGCCAATGTCGGCCTCGGGGGGCGATCGCCGGGCCCCGGGGCCGTCAAACAACGGCTCGGGATGAAGAGCCCGTCCGGGGGAAAGGGTCAGGACCCGCAGGCCCTTCGGTCATGGATCGGATGGCTGAAGAGAGAGAGGGCCACCGGGGAAGGGTCGGGACTTCCAGGGACCCCGTACTGAAAACAGCAGGACGTCGCATGTCTGGGAAGAGCAGCTGCCGCGTCCCTTGGGCCAAGGGTGGGCCGAAGCTCTACGCCGCTACGCTGGTCCCGGGCAGGCTGAGTGCTGCCCGGCGGCAGGGGGCGAGGAGGGGAGCAGCAGGCAGACGACGACGCACGCGCAGGCGGGAGGCCAGGGCCGGCGGGGCGGGCGGGTCTGGTGGCCCGTGGGGCCCGACTGCAAGAACCCAGGGGGCCGAAAGTGAGGGACAGGGCCGGGATTCAGAAGATCAGGTCGCATCGGGCGGGCGGGAATTTGGGGTAACCCGAACAGGGGTGAAGAATAGGAGACCTAATGGGGCCCTTCAGGGCTCCTTTTGGGGCCAGCCCGAAACGGGCCCTTTAGGGCAGTTTTCTGGGACACCCCCCATTACCACCCGCCCGATCGCAGGAGACCTGGGAAAAAAGGCCCCCGACCACGGTGGCGGCGGCAACGATCCGGCGGCGGCGGCCATTCTGCGCCGAGGTGCTCGCGCTCCTCGCGCTCGGCGCAGGCGCGGCGCGCCGGAGGGCCTCCACTGCCAGCCAGTCCACGGCGCGCGAGTGGCTGCGCAGCCACGGGCCGGCGCCGCCGCAGGACGGCGGGGGGCGACGCACGAGTGGCGAGGGTCGAGCAGTGACGAGGCGTCCTGACTCGCCGATGGGCCCACCAGACCCAGGCATTATCGCGTTTATATATATAACATTTAAAAACACAACAACAACAACAACAACAACAACAACAACAACAACAACAATCATTTTACCCGAACGCTCAGTGTTCTCACCAGTGCCAGGGTTTTCATGCGACGCGAGACAATACCCCCACTTCGTGGGGGGGCAGTTCAAGCTCTACCAAATATCCAAACGACTCTTCGCGACCACCCAAACCCAGCTTCCCGCCCTATGACGTTGGGACACTTCACTTCGTGGCGTGCGGACGACCGTGGCTACTACACTGGCGTGGGGTACACACCCACAGAACTTGGTCACTTATTCGGGGCGCGCGTGTGCCCAGCATCCTGCAATTGTGACATACAATACATGACACAGACAGACAGAGAGAGAGACAGAGAGCAGACAGAGAGAGAGACAGAGAGAGCGGAGTTGGTCACATTTTTGGGGCAAGTTCCTGAGATCGTCGTGTTTTTTGTTGGTCTTGCGCGCGCGAATGTCCACTTTACTTTTTTTTGCAAGGGAGTATTGAAATTTGATTATGTTAGAACAAGAAAAAGTAGCTCGCGCGAGCTCATGTAACATAAATGTTGAAAAACCATTGGTTTTGTGGGAGTCGGACAGCGCGCGCGGGATGAAATTTGGACATTTTTTTTTGAAAAACCATTGGCTTTTTGATGTTTTTATGTTGAAATCGCTTACGAAACCTAAGGTTCTGGAAGGATTTCGTCTTGCGCGCGCGAATGTCCACTTTACCTTTTTTTTTTGCAAGGGATTATTGAAATTTGATTATGTTAGAACAAGAAAAAGTAGCTCGCGCGAGCTCATGTAACATAAATGTTGAAAAACCATTGGTTTTGTGGGATTCGGACAGCGCGCGCGGAAGGACATTTTGACAATTTTTTCTTAAAAAACCATTGGGTTTTTGATGTTTTTATGTTAAAATCGCTACGAAACCTAAGGTTTTGGAAGGATTTCGTCTTGCGCGCACGAATGTCCACTTTACCTTATTTTTTGCAAGGGATTCTTGCAATTTGATCAAGTAAGAACAAGAATTTTCATTTTCTATTGTTTTTTGCAAGGGAAAACGAGCGTCAACAAAAAACCGGATCCGGAGCTCATCCACTTTTCTGAAGCTTTCGCGAAAAAATGATGAAAATGTAGCTGCGGCCTAGGCGCGGCGCAGAGGTCGCGCACCAGGGGTCCCAACAATAATAATTCTTTAGAAGGAATAATGTTCAACAACAACAACAACAACAACAACAACAACAACAACAGGGCAGGAGGTGTTGGGCTATGTTTGGCCTCGGGGGGCCCTCGCGGGGCCTCGGGACCGTCAAACCACGACTCATGATGAAAAACAGGTCCCGGGGAAAGGGTCTGGTTTTCAACGGACCCCGTATTGAAAAAATCAGGACGTCGCATGTCTGGGGATGAATTCTAAGAGTCTCCCGCTGTTTGGACGTACCGTTCTGAGAGCAGCTCTGGTTGAGACCGGCTTGTGTCAATACCTCGGTCGTGTGTTAGTCGAGGAGTTGTGCTTTAATCCTAGTTTCAACATCTTCTAGTTACCAGAGCACTTCGTGGTAGGCCCATAGGATTGCCGGGACGGTAGGTTCCTGCTCAACAAGGTATTCGCATGCACGAGCGACGGGCATACCCAGAGGTGCACCGTATAGAAAAACACGACGGGAGGCTTTTATGCTTTTTCTGTCTCCAGGGGCCCTTACTACCTGGCATCGGGTCCCTCAAAGAACGATTGAGGATGAAACGCCAGCCCTGGGGAAAGGGTCGGGACTTCCCGGGAGCAGCACTGAGAACATCGAGACGTCGGACCTTTGGGCACGTAGTTATCCTCGCCCACGCCCTCGCTGTCTGGATTCCGTCGCGAGCGGCGAACGTATCCGTACCCCCGCCTTCGCGGTCTGGACTCCAGGGCGCGAGCCTGCGGATACGCAGTCGCACGGACACGTTCCGCGCAGTGCATCCGCGAAGAGACGCCCCGCATCCGTGGCGTCGCCGCCCAGGGGCCCGGGCCGCGAGACTGTGTATACGAAGATGTTCGTCGCCTACAGTCGGGGCGCTGACTAAGGAACCCTTTCCGTTGGGGAATCGAAGTTTTACAGTTTGATTGGGTTTCCCTTTCCTGATTGTTTTACAGTTTGTCTTGGGTTTTCCTTTGGTTTTCCATGGGGAATCGAAGTTTAAGTTAAGGGAAACAGGGGCCTCGAACCTTATTTAGGGTTCCTTAGGTCAACGCCCCGACTGTACGAGCGACGGCGACAACCTGGGTGCAGGGAGCACACCCTTGACAGCACCATGCTGACCCCTCGCCTTCTTCCCTGGAGATCCGGGCGCTACAGTTTTGTCACACCGGACGTTTTCGGTTTCGGGCCCTTGGGTTCTCACAGGTCGATCCGGCTCAGAACGTTCTGCAGAAAGAGGGGGTCTAGGTCTCTGATTGTGATTTCTCGCCATGGTGCCTTGTTTTCGCGACGTCGGACCTCGGGTCTGGGGCTGTGCCAGAGAGCTTCGGCACCCGATTGTCAGAACGTTTCGCAGAAGCGACGCAACTAACTAGTACAATGTTACCCAACCTCCACCTGGCCCCATCTGGACCCCCCCCGCCCCTGGGGAGGGGGCCCGCGTAGCGTGGGGATGACCTCCTTGCCCCACTGGACGAGGACGACGACGAGGCCAACGTCTCTGCCCGCGGCGGCATCGGCGAAGCTGTCGACGATGCTGTCGACGACGGGGATGTCGACGATGGCGACCACTCTACTCTGTCCATCGCTACCCACCAAACCACCCCAACCCAACCCGAAGGCCTCAATTTGCCCTCCATTTCCAGTGGGGGGGGTCGGGGAACATCGAAAAAACACATATGGAACCCGTACCCCCCCCCAACCCGAAATTCGGGTCTTCGGGTTGGGTTGGGGTGGTCTGGCAGGTCGTCAGTCCAGGACCGATGTCGAGTCGACGACGCCGGCGACGGAAAGTTTTACGCCGCTGTGGACGGCGTGGTCGACGACGAGGGCGACGGCCGCCTCGCCCGCGCCAGGACGAGCTGCAGGAGCTGAAGGCGGCCAACCCGGAGGCCAGGGGGAGGGGCGGAGGGGCGCGCGGGCAGTGCCGGACGTCTCGGCGGCGTCGTGGTCGCCGTCGACGTCGTCGTCGACCACGTCGTGCGGAGAATCGTCGTCGACGTTATCGTCGCTATCGACGTCGACGACGTCGTCGTCGACGTCGTCTTCGTCGTCGACCACGTCGTTCTGGCCGTCCTCGTCGTCGTCGTCATCGGCGTCGTCTTCGAACGCGTCGTCGTCTTTATTGTCGTCCTCGCCGTCGTCGTCGACGCCGTCTTCGTCGTCGTGGCCTGGCCCTGACGCCTCGGCCCCGGCGGGGCGCCATGGCCTTCGGCCACGGGCAGAATTCAGGACGGCTCCTGCGTCTGTGAACACAGTATCGCTCTTCCCTGCTCCTGTCCTCCACTGCCCTCTGTACGGCTCGAAGTACGGTTGACGCAGGATCTTTCCCTTCACCTGCGGAGGGAGAAGGTCATCGGTCACATCCGGCGGATCATTCGGGGCCAGGCTCCTTGGCTAAACCTCCGTACACACACCTCCCCGTGCCCCCTCCCTCTTCCATCCCCCTCCTCCCTCCCCTCCCGCCCCCTCCCCCCCCCTCTCCCAGCAGGAGCTGGCGTACCAGCTTCAGTCCTTGTCCGTTGGCTAGCAAGGGGTGCCAGCATTTCTCAGGGTGTTGGAGTCCCAGCCCGCCAGACGCGAGAAGAGCATCGCACTGGGATGGCGGCGCAGCTATGGCGAGAGTGGCATGGCGGCGAAACTGTCACATGGTCTTGTTCCCCACATGTGTTGTGGTTTTATGGTTTCCTTTCCACCCGCGTCGCACCCGCGTCTTCCTCACACCTCCCTCCTCCCTCCGCTCTCTCCTCCTCTTCCGTTCTTCCCCACATGTTTTGTGGGGTTCTGGTTTTCTCCCCTGCCGCGTCGCACCCGCGTCTCATTCACCTCCCTGCCTCCCCTCCTCACCCTTCTTTGCGTCTTCTCGCCACTCTTCTTCCACGCTCGACATACACACAATACATCTGCACACCCACACACACATACACATCTCCTCCTGACGCATCACACGCAGCATTCGCATACACATACACATCTCCTCCTGACGCATCACGCGCACCGGCTCGCAATGCGTGGCAAGAGTTGTACTTCCTCGACACCACAGGGTGCGCGCTGGGGGGGGGAGCGCTATCCGTTTCGGGTTCGCAAAGCGTGGCAGGCTTGGCACTTCGTCGACACCAGAGAGGGTGCGCTGTGGGTGGGAGCGCTATCCGTTTCGGGTTCGCAAAGAGTGGCAGGCATGGCACATCCTCGACACCACGGAGGGTGCGCTGGCGGTGGGAGCGCTATCCGTTCCGGGCTCGCAAAGCGTGGCAGGCGTGGCACTTACTCGACACCACAGGGGGTGCGTTGTGGGTGGGAGCGGTATCCGTTCCGGGCTCGAAAAAGCGTGGCAGGCTTGGCACACCAGTGTGTTTGTCCCAACCTTCCTGTGTGTTGGGTCCTCGTTTCGAAGTCGCAGCGCCCCGCGTCTCCTTCCTTTCTTGCTTCCTCCTCCCCCTCAACTCCTCTCCTCCTCTTCACTCCTCCTTCCACGTCCGCCTCATCCTCTTGTCCCCTTTTCCCATCACCATAACCACCATAATCATCACCACCATGATCATCATCATCATCATCACCACCACCAATGTCATCACCATCACCATCGCCACCACCATCATCATTATCATCACCGTTTAGGCGCACCCCTCATACGTTTCTTGGCCCCATAGGGAGCTCCACCGAAGGCACCAGTGGCTGTGTCCGCATGGTGACTCGGGTCTCTTCGGGCGCACCCCTGTCACGTTTTGTGGCCCCAGATGGAGCTCCCCCAAAGGCCCCAGTAGCTGCGTCCGCACGGTGACTCGGGTCCCTCCGTGCGCACCCCTCACACGTTTCGTGGCCCCATAAGGAGCTCCACCGAAGGCCCAAGTGGTTGCGTCCGCATGGTGACTCGTGTCCTTTCTGGCACACCCCTCACACGTTGCCTGTCTCCGTAGGGAGCCCCGCCGAAGGCCCCTTTGGCTGCGTCCGCATGGTGACTCGGGTCCCGTCTGGCACACCCCTCACACGCTTCGTGGCCCCCTAGGGAGCCCCATCGAAGGCCCCAGTGGCTGCGTCCGCATAGTGACTCGGGTCCCTTCTGGCACACCCCTCACACGCTTCGTGGCCCCAGAGGGAGCTCCACGGCCAGTCTTTTTTATTTTTGTGCAGTGGCTCGCGCGGGGGGGGGAGGTCGCGCGGTACATTGCGATGTCTGTGTTTTATTTCCCCACGGCGTCGCGTTTTCCGGTTTGTGTCGCGCGGCTGCCACCGTGGCTGCCCCGGAGTCTTTGTGTTCTTGGTACTAGGCGCGCCTTTGTGTTTGTTCTTGCGGGAATTGCGACGGGCCCGCGCGGTTACGCCAAACAAATTGTGTTGTTGTTCGCGGGCCCTTGCGTTTTTGTTGCTTTTGGGCGGCCCTTTCTGTGTTTTTGGCAATCAGCCCGAGCGGAGCCCCGCAGGATTGGTTCGACGCCTATGTTTTTTCTATGTGTTGGGTCAGCCCCATCCGCTTTCGTTGCGGCTCGCCTATTCTTGCGCGGAGATCGCCGTCGGGCCGATTGGGGGCTCTTTGGGGCGACCATGAGGTCTTTATGTTTTTGCGTTCGGGGTGCGGCCCCCTTTGTTTTTTATGTTCGCAGGCCGGCGCGAGCGCGATTTCCTCTACTCTAACCACTCTGTCCGTTTTGTTTCCAGCCCTTCGTGTTACCAGCTTCCCCGTAGGGAGCTCCACCGAAGGCCCCAGTGGCTGCGTCCGCATGGTCACTCGGGTCCTTCCTGACGCACCCCCCCCGAGCATGGCGCAAGATCCGCGACGCGGTTTGGCTCAGAGGTGAGGTTGCCCATGGTCCCTCCTCCTGCTCCCACAGTTCCCGCCCTTGCGTTCCGCGCCGCATGCGCTGCTAATCTCCGCATGTGAATTGAGTCGCGTGACTGCGTGCTGAGCCGGGTCCGATCGTCTCTGGCGAAGTGTTCTGGGGAACTGCGAACCCCCCAAAGAGTTCTTGTGAAGCGAGTGGCCTTGTTGATACCTTCCACGCGTACAGAATGGGTTGGGTTTTTCGCCAGGGTAATTTGGAGCGCGGTTGGAGCGGCGGGACCATGCTCATGCATCTCTGCCGACGACCCACCTGTGTGGAGGGCGACGGTCTCTCGCGTGGGCAGGCCAGGATGCGCTTTTTGAGATTCGAGCCCGAGCCCCTTTGGCTCCAACACCACGCAAGGGACGTTCCATAGTTTGTTGGAAGCGCTCTTAGTGCTGGCAGGTTTCGGGGCGAACTGCAAGACGCTGCTCCCCCCCCAGCGTTCTATCCATCCATCTATCCTCCCAGCCGGCTGCGCAGGGGGCTGTTTTCCTAAATGTGGAACGCAGCTTCCAGGATCCTAAGTTGCGCGGCAGGGTTCGGGCTTGCAGCCAGGGGTCCCGCCCATAAAAGTTCCATTGACCCCCGCTTCTCCCTCAATGGGGTTCGCGCGCCCCTGGGCCCAGCGAGGCGTACGCGATCGTCAAGGCGCTCTTGACCAAGCGCGCGCTTGGCCTGCTCGATCCCAGGCACCCGACCGCCTCGTTCGCGTCGGCCCCAGCGGCGCAGGCTTCCAGCCCCTGCGAGGAGGGCGGGGGGAGGGAGGGAGGGAGGATGATCGAGGAGCGAGGGAGGGAGGGAGGGAGCGAGGGAGGGAGGGAGGGAGGGAGGAAGCGAGGAGGGCGAGTGGGGGGAGGGTTCTCCTCCAGCTGCTGCTCCTCTCCTCTCCTCCGCGTGTTCTTCCTCCTGCCGCTCTCCCTCCGCCGGCTTCTGGGGCCCCCCTTCTTTCCCTTCCTCCTTCTCTCCTCCGCCTGCTCTTCCTTCTCCTGCACCTCCTGCTCCTCCCTCTCCACCATTTCCCCCTTCACTCCCTGCGCCCCGCGGGGCCGAGAGCGGAGTGGGACACTGGGGAGGCCTGCGGGAGAGGGGCAGGAGGAAGAGTGAGGAGGAGACGGGGGAGCAGTAGACAACCACATCACAACATGATGAACCTCCGGGGCTCCGCGCGGCATGGGCCCCCCACCTCCCCACCCCCCCAGAGAAGTCGGGGAGGCGCCGCGGACGTGCCGCGCGGGCAGCTCTGCTGCAGCTTCGGCCCTCCGGGGGGCCGTCCTCGGGCACGGGGCCCCGGAGCGCGCGAGGGGGGGGGGGGGGCGGTGGCTGGGGCGGGGCACCGAGGGCTGCCGACAAAGGAGACCCCTCAGAGGGCCCTGGAGAAGCCTTTTGGGGCCCCGAAAGTGTGCCGCCTGGGCCCGAAGAAGGCCCCATTCTCTCCCCCCAAAAAACTGGATCGTCGCCCCATGAATGTTCGCGCCCAGCTGGGCACATGAAGCACTGGACAGGAGAGGGGGTTAGGAATTCTGGGGGCCGCACGTTGGCACGCTCTCCGGGGAGCGCGTGTGTGTGTGTGTGTGTGTGTGTTTGTGTTTGTGAGTGTGCGTGTGTGTGTGTGTGTTTGCTGCGTATGCGTGTGAACGTGCGTGTGGTTGCATGCATGTATGTAGGATGTATGTATGTATGTATGTATGTATGTATGTGTGTATGTATGCATGGATGCAGCTTCATCTATCTTTATATATGTACACACAACCATGCATGCATATGTGTATGCATGTACGTGTGTATGCATGCATGTGTGTATGTATGGACGAGCTGTTGTATGTGTGTGCACCTGTCTGTGTGCATGTATGTATGTTTGTATATATATACATGTGTTTTGCCTGTGTGCATGCAGGTGTATATGTATATGTACATTTAAATGTCTAGGCACATGTATGCATGCATGTATGCGTGCATGTACGTATGATTGTAGTTGCCTATGTATGTACACGCAGGACATAATGAATGCATGTATGTAAATACGCAGACATGTATGCGCGTGCAAGTCTGCACGTACGCATGTATGTGTATGTATGTGTGCGCGTGTATGTATGTATGTATGTATGCATGCATGCATGCATGCATGCATGCATGCAATCATACATGCATGATTGTACGTATGAATGTATGTATGTATGTATGTATGTATGTATGTATGTATGTATGTATGTATATGTGTATATATAGGTGTATGTGTGTATGTATGTATGAATGCATGCATGCATGCATGCATGCATGCATGCATGCATGCATACATGCATGCATGTATGTATGTATGTATGTATGTATGTATGCATGCATGTATGTATGTGTGCGCGTCGTGATGTGTGTATGTGTGTATGTGTGTATGAATGTATGTATATAGGTGTGCATGCATGTTTGTATGCATGTGTGCATGTAGGGTTGGCTGTATGTGTGTATAGAGTTGTGTGTGGGCATGTCTGCATGTTTGTATGTGTATGCATGTATGCGTGCATGCATGTCAGGTGTATGTGTGTACGTGAGTATGTACATACGTATGCATGTGTGTGTATGCATGCCTGCAGGTGTGTATACGTGTATACCCGTACACCTGCATGCATGTATGTATGTATCTGTGTATGTGTGTATGTATGCATGCATGCATGCATGCATGTCTGTCTGTGTTTATGGATGCATGCATGTATGGGTGTATGCGTTCATGTATGAGTATGGCTGTATACGCGTAGAACGCATGCGTGTTACGCATGCATGTACGCATGTATGTAGGCATGTAGGTGTGTATACATGTATGCATGTATGTATGCATGTAGGTCGGTAGATGGGTAGGTAGGTCGGTAGGTAGGTAGGTGGGTGGGTGGGTGGGTGGGTAGGTAGGTAGGTAGGTCGTCAGGTAGTTAGGTAGGTAGGTAGGTAGGTAGGAAGGTATATGCATGTATGCAGGGATCGATGGACGAACATATGTATGTTGCATTCATGCATGCGTGCATGCATGCGCGCATGTACCTATGTGAGTGCGTGTGTGTATATGTGTCTGTGTGTTCGGGGGGGGGGCGGGGGGGGGGCTCGCAAGTACGGGTGGATTCGCTTCGGAATCTTGTTCAGAACGACTTCCTGGAAAGGTCTCATGGCTGGATTATGTTGAAGAGGAGGAGGAGGAGGAGGAGTAGGAGGAGGAGTAGGAGGAGCAGGAGGAGGGGAGGGAGGTGGAAAAGGAGGTGGAGGAGGAGGAGGAGGAGAAGGAGGAGGAGGAGGAGGAGGACGACGAGGAGGAGGAGGAGGATGAGGTGGTTGAAGAAGGTACGAGGGAGGAGGAATCATGAACGAGGGATGCAAAAGGAGGAGGGCGGGAAAGAGGAACGAAGCATGTAGCAGGGAAGGAGAGGAGGAAGAGGATGAGGGTGAAGGGGATGTGGAGGGAGGCGGTCTTTGGAAGCTGTTGCGGGCTTCCGCTTCCAGGCCCGGGGGGGGAAGATGGGGGGCGGGCAGACGGAGGATGGAGGAGGGAGGGCCTCAACGCTCGCATAACACTGGTCTGGTCACCAGCTGGGGCACAGGCCGTCCAGCCCGAGCTGCTGGACCATTTCGTGCCCGTCCCGCCTGTGCTCGGCACGAAGCTCCGGGCGCTGGGGGACGCCGACGATATGGCGCTCCACTCCACCTCGGCGGACAGGGCTGCGGGCTCGACGCCGCCACGACGCGCCTGCAGCAGCTCCTGGGCTCGCCTCTGGCAGCTCTCCCGGCCTCTTCATAAGCAGGCAGGGGGGGCCGCCGTGGACGACCTCCGAGGGCAACGCCAGCCGACACTACCTCCAGCTTGCTACGGCGCTGGGAGGAGGAGGACGTGGACGACCTCCGAGGGCAACGCCAGCCGACACTACCTCCAGCTTGCTACGGCGCGGGGAGGAGGAGGAGGAGGAGGAGGAGGAGGAGGAGGAGGAGGAGGAGGAGGGGGGAGGAGGGAGGAGGAGGAGGAGGAGGAGGAGGAGGAGGAGGAGGAGGAGGAGGAGGAGGAGGAGGGGGGGGGAGGAGGGGGGGGGAGGGGGAGGGGGAGGAGGAGGGGGGAGGAGGAGGAGGAGGAGAGGAGGAGGAGGAGGAGGAGGAAGAAAAGGAGGAGATGTGGATGGGCGCTGAGAGCCTGCTCGGAGCAGCTGCTGGACCGCACGCTGGGGCCAGTGGCCTGCGAGCTGCCGGGCCTGCCGCGCAGGCTCGGCCTCGAGGGGGCCCAGTGAGCCACCGCGGCCTCCTGGGCCGCCGGGGCGCACTCCGACGACGAGGTGCGCAGCGACTTGGGCGCGGCTTCGCTCGCGGACGCGTTGCCCCCCCCCACCCACACCCACCCCACCCCCCCACACACAACGCTAGGGCGCGCGCGCGCCAGTGTGCAGAGCCGTCTCCCGCGGCCCCGCTCGCCGCGGCGCTTGGCTGGCCGACGGGGCAGAATATGTTTGCGACGGTGCACAAGACAACTCTGGCTGTCGCCTGGCAGCGAGCACACCTTCGTAATCTGGCTGTCCTTCAGTCCGCTGGCGGGCCAGGGTCTGGGTCGTACCTGCAGTACTCCACTGAGGCAGCGTGTCCGCTGGAAGACATGGAGTGGGCCATTTGGACCGGTTGCGACCTCTTGCTGCCAAAACCAGAATGTTCTCGTGACGAGTTCGGGCAGGCATCTGAGACGCGCTGCAAACACGCCGCCGCCGGGGCATGCTGCCAGGCGCCCTTTGACGAACTACCACGTGGCCACCTGCCGGCCCAGGGGAGGCGTCGTCTGGCGCCACGGCGGGTTGGCCAAGGCGGCGGGTGGCTTGGCGGCGCGGTGGACGCACGACCGCCCGCTGCACGAACAGCGCGTGCCCTTTCGGCTCCAGCGCCCGGCCGAGGGTGCCGGCCTCGCTGTTCTCGAGCGAGCAATTCTGCACATCCAGTACGAAGGCGTCGATGGCAGGCGGTGGGTGGATGCCACCCCGCGCCCCCCGCGGCCGGGGGGGATTGCTGCCCGGAGGCCGGGAGAGGCTTCGCGCCGTGCATAAAGGAAAAAGCACGAGCGCTATCCCGGCGAACGGCTGACAGCGCTCGCCGTGGGGACCGCGGGGCGGCTCGGGGCAGAGGCGCGACATTGGCAGGTCGCCCACGTGCCTGAGCTGCGAGAGGACGAGCAGCAGGCTGAGCTGGCGTGCGCCTACTGCGCTGTCAGTTGCGCAGTCCAGCGCCGGGTGGCGCCGCAGCTGCGCCAGGCGGCGGGCCTGCGCTAGGGCGGCGGCGGCTGCTGGGAGAAGCGGCGGCGGCGGCGGCCTGCCTCCTGCGGGGTCCGCCACTGGCAACGGCGGCGACGGCGGCGCCCCGCACTGGCCCGGCGGCAGCTCGCAGCCGCGAGGGCCAGGCGCGCGGGCGGGCGCGGCTGCGCCGGCGGCGGCGGCGGCAGCGGTGACGGCGGCGTTGGCGCCTCGCGCTGGCCCGGAGGAGCGCGCAGCCGCGGGGGCCGGGCGCGCGGGCGGGCGTGGCCGCGGGCGCGTGCTGTCCGCTCGCCCGGGGGCCCCTTCGGACTCGGAGCCCGTGGGGCCGCGAGGGCATATAGAGATTGAGCATAAAAAGGGAAGGATGCCCCCCTCCTCGTCCTGAAGCATTCCTCCTTTGAAGACGTTCTGGAACTTCCTTCCCTCCCTCCCTCCTTCCTCCCCCTTCCCCCATTGAAGCCTCGTATTTTCGTCCTTCCTGGAGTAGCAGCAGAGATATGGAAACCCGCCCCCCGCCCGCGACGACTACTACCACGGCGACGGCGACGGCGACGACGACGACGACGACCTCCTGGACCCTGTCGTTGGGCGCGTTTTGAACCGAATGACGATGCGTATCCAATAGTAGTCACAGTGGGAGCCCTGGAGGGCCAAAAACGCCACCAAACCTCAAATCCCGGGTTCCCGGCGACGACCACGACCACGTCGACGACGAGGCGCGCGCGCGACAGACAGCTGACAACGCCCCGCCCATGAGCTCGGTGGACTTCGCCGCCTCCGTGGGCGTGAAGGCAGTCCCGCCGTGGCGCCCAACGGATCGCCGTTTCCGTCGACGACGTCGACGCCGTGGTGTTGGGGGCCGTCGTCGGGTTTTCGGGTAGTTCGCCGTTCGCCCAGCAGCGGCGGTGCCGCTGTTGAACTTCTGGTTTGGGGGGCGGGTGTCGCTGCCTCGGCTGGATTCGGCCCGCAAGGAGAAAGGCCCTTCCTCCTCCTTTCCTCCTCCCCCTCTCGGTCGCCTCCTCCTCCTCGACCTGCTCCATCTCTCATCCTCCCCCCAACCCACGTCCTCCTCCTCCCCCTGCTCCTCCTCCTCCTCCTCGTCCTCCTCCTCCTCCTCCTTCTCCTCCTCCTCCTCCTCCTCCTCCTCCTCCTCCTCCTCTCCGTCCCAGGGTTCTCACGGGCGCGGCGCGTCGCACCGCGGGTTCCGGCCCGGCCCTCGTCGGCGCGGCTTGCTGTCCACGGTTGTCCACGTCGCGGTCCCCAGGCGTCCACGCTCCCGGCTTGTCCGACCCGCCCCCTCCCCCTCCCCCCTCCCCCTCCCCTCCTCCTCCTCCTTTTCCTCCTCCTCCTCCTCCTCCTCCTCCTCCTCCTCCTCCTCCCGCCCAGCGGAGCGGAGCGGAGCGACACGCGACCGCTTGCAGGGCACGGCGCGTCGCCGGGGCCCTCGCCGCGGCACGCTGAAAAAACGCTGCCGACCGTTAACCAGGAGGCGACGAGCGAGCAACACACACCCATACCCACAGGGGGGTCGTTGAGAGGAGGACTGGCCATGGGTGCGGGCGCGGGTTGTCGGACCCTGGGGAACGCTCCCGTTCGAGCGGGGACCTCCATCCGACAACACGCACCCATAGCCCTCTCCGACCCCCCTATGGGTATGGGTGCGTGTTGTTGGTTCGCCAGGAGGGGCCCTGGAAGGGTCGGGCCAGACGAAAGCGGGGGGGTCTGGGAAAAATTGTGGGATGGCACATCTGCTTCAAACGCTGTCTAGTCAGGCCGAAAACCGCAAGCGGCACTCAACTCGCCAGGTGAAGCCGGATCTGGACCTTACGCGATGCACGGCAGGCGTTGGCTGAGGAACACATCGCTCGTACGAACTTTCGGCACGGGCGTCAAGATTGAGTATCGTTTAATCGATCCCTACCCCCTTCCTCATCCACATCTCGAGCCCCACCATCTCACCACCCCAGTTGGTGATACGCCCCTCGAAACCCGAAGAGAGCAGCCTGTATCCCCATTCAGGGGGGTAAATCGGCCAGTGGGGCCCAGCCCACGCTTGCGGGGATTGGGATCGGTTAAACGATGCTCAAAAACAGGGCCTTACGAGCAGCGCAAAGATGCCTCAGAGACGAAGCTCACGAAGGGGGGAAGGGGTGGGCAGGGTACAAGAAGCTGCTGCGTGCAGCTGGTTGCGACCTGGCCCGCTGGGCACTTCAAATGACACGCATGGGCACCTCTGGCGCCTGGAGTCGCCGCGAAGTCCAACTACGAGAACTCATTTGCGAACCGTCCCCCTTAACGACCCCATCCCCTGTCGCCCGACCCAGGAGGGGTCCAGGATCTGGGGCGCGTTTTCGATCCAATCTCGATCGGGAGTGAGGCTTCGAAGGGCAGGGCACCCCGAGCCCCAGGGCTGTTTACGGGCGTTTCGGGAGGAGGAGGAGGATGAGGAGAAGGAGGAGGAGAAGGAGAAGGAGGAGGAGGAAGAGGAGGAGGAGTAGGAGGGGGAGGAGGAGGAGGAGGAGGAGGAGGAGGAGGAGGAGGAGGAGGAGGAGGAGGAGGAGGAGGAGGAGGAGGAGGAGGAGGAGGAGAGGAGGAGGAGGAGGGGAGGGAGGGAGGGAGGGAGGGAGGGAGGGAGGGGGAGGGGGGGGAGGGATGGAGGGAGGGGGAGGGGGAGGAGGAGGAAGAGGAGGAGAGGAGGAGGAGGAGGAGGAGAAGAGGAGTAGGAGGCGAGGAGGAGGACGAGGAGGTGGAGGAGGCGTAGGAGGAGGAAGTGCTGTCGACTGGCCTCGCAGGCTGCGCGCTGCCGCGCCCCCATTGCCCAGCGCAGGCGTCCTCCGGCGCGGCTCCGGAGGCCACCGACGACACCGTCGAGGCCCCGGGCGCGAGGGAAGTCAGCGACGCACATCGTCATCAGCAGAGGTTCTTGGACAAGAGCGATGAGAGAAAAACGAGGTATCAATGAATCGACAATCTCGGGGATCCATGCTGGATCTGCCGGATCGGCGCTGGATCCCCTCCCTCCCTGGCGCGCGCAGCGTGCCATGGGCCAGGGGCGTCTCCAGAGGCGCCGCGGGAAGTCTGCTCGGGCCCCCTGCGGGCGAACTCGCCCGTCCTGGGGGGAGCCCCGGGCTCCAGGGCCCGCGGCCGCCCGGGACCTTCTCTCCCCGGCGCCGTCGGAGGGCAGGGACGCTGTGTACGTCATTCTCTCCCCATCCTGATGTTATTCACCACCCACCAAACCACCCCAACCCAACCCGAAGGCCCAAATTTATCCTCGATTTCCAGTGTGGGGGGGGGTCGGGGAACATTGCGAAAACACATGGAATCCGTACCCCCCCAACCCGAAATTCGGGTCAAATTCGGGTCTTCGGGTTGGGTTGGGGTGGTCTGGTAGGTAGTCAGTTATGTCTGCACTTCGAGCCGTAGCACCAACGTCTGGCGTTGCCCACTGGGGTTGTCCCTCTCTCCTTCCCCGCATCACTCTCAGCACGGCCAGGAACTTTGGTGGAGCGTGTCGCTCCGCCGGTTCTGGCCCACCAAGCGTCGCTGCATCCGCCTGGCGTCAACGTTCCGAGCTTTTCCGAGCCCTCCGCCCCGCGAAGCGGAGCGACACGCTAACCGTTTGCAAGGCATAGCGTGTCCCTTGGGCCGCCGCCGCGACATGCTAAGCAAAAAGCTCCCGACCGCATCACCATGAGAAAGGTATCGTCTCTTCACTCGGCGGCGGCCGACGGGGGGAAAGTGAGAAGCACCAGGAGCAGGCGGGGCTTCTCAGAAAACCTCAAGCCTTCTGAAAGGTTTCCTGCGTCTCCGTGGAAAGCTGAGAAATTCTCAGGAGGTTGGGGGACTTCTCAGCCTTCTAGGAAGGCCTTCTCCTTCTCGCTTCCCCCCGGGCTCAGCGCCGATTCCCTCGTGATGTGGTGACAGCGACGTCGAAATGAACGATTTGTCAACCACGCTTATCGGCCCGCTACCCGAGAACTACTCCAGCGGACACGCAGACCGCTGTGACTACGCGCGGGCCTGGGGCGCGGGGAGCACCCCGAGCCAAATGCTGCCGAGGATGGGGAAAAGGGTGAGGCACAACATCTGCTGCATGCAGCTGGCTTTGAGCGCCTCCCGTCGCCAGGAGGCGCCATGAAAACCAGTTACGCAAACTGATTCTCTACCCTTCGAAGAAGAAACAAACAACATAAACATCAACCTTTGGCGCTCCGCGCGGATGTCTTGGATCCGCGCCGGGCCCCCCTGCAGGCGGCGCCTCCGGCGCCGCCCCCGGCGCGCTCGCGGATCCAAGCAATCCGCGAGAAGCGCCAAACGTTTATGTTTGTGTGTTTTGTTGTTATTATTCTTCTTCTTCTTCTTTCTCTTCTTCTTCTTCTATCGAGGGCAGAAAAAAACGCCCCTACCCTGGTTTGCGGGGCGCTGTGCGCTGAAACTCCTGTGGGCCGACAGGCCAAGCCCTGCGTGATGTGCCGCGTCCTGGCGGCTCTAGGCTTTGGGGGCTCCCAGGAGGTTTACAGACCACGCACTTGTAACCCAGGGTAGGGTCGTTTTTTCATTCCTCAATCATATACCCTGCCCCTTGCTATCCTGCCCTTTCTCCCCCCCCCGGACTCGCCGCCGATGCTGCGGACCCGTCGCGCTCACCCGCCCCCCCGGACTGCCCTCCCCGTCCCTCCTCGGCCTCCTTGGCTCCCTAGGCGCCTCCCAGCAGGAGGAGCGCGTGGGCGAGGACGAGGACGAGGACGAGGACGGCGGAGGAGGAGGAGGAGGAGGAGGAGGAGGAGGAGGAGGAGGAGGAGGCGGAGGAAGAACAGGAGGAGGAGGAGGAGGAGGAGGAGGAGGAGGAGGAGGAGGAGTAGGAGGAGGAGGAGGAGGAGGCAGGCGGAGGAAGAGGAGGAGGAGGAGGACGAGGACGAGGACGAGGACGAGGACGAGGAGGACGAGGACGAGGACTGCTCTCTTCGCGCTCCCCCGCTCCCTGGCTCCTCTCCTCGTCCTTCCGCGACCTGCCGCTCCCCCGGGTCCGCGGAGGGCCGCGGCCCTCCTCTCCCGCGCGTCGCCGCCCGACCGTCTGTTTTATGTGTGGGCAGCTGGGGGGAGGAGCATGCAGACACGAGTCTGAAGTCGGGCCTGTCCAGCTACAGGGGGATTTGTAGGCTAAGCATAAAAATATTCAAACAATGACCCCCAAATGCTCGAAAATAGTTTTAAACAAAAAAACGTCCCGGGACTATGTTTTGAGTATTTTTGAACATCCCCCTTGTAGAGGGACAGGCCCGACTTAACACAAGTCTGAAGTCGGGCCTGTCCAGCTACAGAAGGAATCTTCAGACATACTGTACACATCATATGGGGAAGATGTTCCTACCATGTGTTATCATTTTGGTTGCATGTTTCTACTATGTTTTATGTTTCGTCCAAGATGTCCGTGTAGGGGGACAGGCCCGACCTAACACAAGTCCCCATCGGGCGCTAAAGGTAGGTACTCCTGGATTCCTGGATTATAATCTGATTTAAGCGCCTTCCTACTTCAATGATCGGGTTATTTCATCTCTTCCGTCCTCCTGAGGGGGCGGACGGGACCCAACCTACTTTCAACACCTTCCTACATGTTTCTACCTGCTTCTTCCGACCGATGGGTAATCGTCAGTTCCCGGGAAGACGCACAAACCGGACATCTCAGGAACACGCAGCAAGCATCATGCACTCCAGGCTTTTTGTTTCCAGAACATCAAGAGTCTGCATTGGACCCTGGGCGTTCTTTTGGAGCGTATTTGTGAGTAGAACGTTCAAGAATCTAGACTTGAATTCTTTACGCTTCGCGTATCCCCACCAGCCCATCTCACAGCAGCAACTCTCGCGAAGCATGCCGACAGTCGTGTTTTTCAGGCGTGTGTCCGCTTGGCCCCGCATATCTCCCCTGTTCCTCCTTCCTCCCGCCTCCTTGTACATCCTCCTTGTGAGGGGAGCGGGAGAAGGACGAGGCGGAGGAGGAGGGAGAGAAAGCGCTCCTCGTGATTTGAGTCGTTTGGGGTTTCTCGTCCTGGTGTGAGTCGTTCGGGCCCTTCTTCCTGGTGTGAGTCGTTCGGGCTCTTCGTGGTGTGAGTCGTTCGGGCTCTTCGTCCTGGTGTGAGTCGTTCGGGCTTCTCGTGGTGTGAGTTGTTCGGGCCCCTCATCCTGGTGTGAGTCGTTCGGGCCCCTCCTCCTGGTGTGACTCGTTCGGGCTCCTCGTGGTGTGAGTCGTTCGGGGCCCGCGTCGTGGTGTGAGTCCTTCGGGCTCCTCGTGGTGTGAGTCGTGAGTCGTTCGGGGCCCCTCCTTGTGGTGTGAGTCGTTCGGGCTCTTCGTGGTGTGAGTCGTTCGGGCCCCTCGTCCTGATGTGAGTCGTTCGGGCTCCTCGTGGGGCCTCTTGGGGGCCTCTTGGAGCCTCGTGGGGCCTCTTGGGGGCCTCTTGGGGGCCTCTTGGGGGCCTCTTGGGGGCCTCTTGGGGCCCCTCTTGGGGGCCTCTTGGGGGCCTCTTGGGGGCCTCTTGGGGCCTCGTGGGGCCTCTTGGGGGCCTCTTGGGGGCCTCTTGGGGGCCTCTTGGGCCTTGGGGGCCTCTGGGGGGCCTCTTGGAGGCCTCTTGGGAGCCTCCTGGGGGCCTCTTGGGGCCATCTTGGGGCCTCTTGCGACCTCCTCAGAAGCGCAAAGGAGAGCTGCCCCCTGAGAAGGACAAAATGAGCCCAAAACCTTCGTAAAATCAATGATTTTGCTATGAGGGAAGATGAGCGCGGCCCCCTCAGAAGGCCAAAATGGGGCCACCAGTAAAATCAATGCTGCCAAACTCCCCCCCCCCCCCGGGGCCAGAATCCTCGTGAGGTCGTCGTTTTTTGGCCCTCCGAGGAGTCAAAATGGACCCCCCCGCCACCACCCGGGAATCCCTGTCCAGGTCCAGGGGGAGGGGGTAGGGGGAGGGGTAAACCCCTCCCCGAAGGGGAAGAAGGGGGGTTGAGAACAGAGAGAGCTCTCTAAACCACTCACGCCCAAAGGGCTGGTGGGACTACTGTCTAAGAAAACACCTGGAGTGAAGGTAATTTCCTTAGCTTACAATTTTCTCAACTCTACATGGGTATGGAACAGATGGGAAGCGAAGGGGAAGATAAAGCTCGAGAACACATGGGGAATGTGCGGAATCCTGGGTTACGTGTCTATTCACTTGTGTGTCCCTGGGCTCCCTCATTTGGGGCTGGGGGGGGGTGTCTCGCTGCGGCTTGTGGGCCCAGGCTTCGAAGATCCTCCGCCTCCTCCGTGCAGATCGGGCGTCGCGACACAAGTCACCGCGGCTGTCTTCTCTTTGGTTTTGGCTCTCCGGGGCCCTTTTCGGGGGAGGAGGAGGAGGAGGAGGAGGAGGAGGAGGAGGAGGAGGGAGGAGGAGGAGGAGGAGGAGGAGGAGGAGGAGGAGGAGGAGGAGGAGGAGGAGGAGGAGGAGGAGGAGGAGGAGGAGGGAGGAGGAGGAGGAGGAGGAGGAGGAGGAGGAGGAGGAGGAGGAGGAGGAGGAGGAGGAGGAGGAGGAGGAGGAGGATCAGGAGAAGGAGGAGGATGTCAAGGAACTGCTCGGGATAGAGCGCGAGTCCCGGGAAGCAGGCGAGGGCCTCAGGGTTCCCACGTTACGAAGAGGCCGTGACGTCGAAGGGAAGAGACTTTCAGAGATGGAGATCGTCCCTCCCTCCCTCCCCCCCTCCTCCCCCTCCCCCCCTCCCTCCCTGCCTCCCCCACCCCACTCCCTCTACCAATTACTCAATATGAATACTACTCTCTTCCTTCCTGATGACTGGTTGGGAGTGTTCGCCCCCCCCCCCCCCCGCGTATTGTTTTTTACACACAGGATTCCC